TGGCTCCTGCGGAGGCACTTGGGGCGCAGGGGCCCCACCCGCATGCTGCTCGGGCGTCAGACACACAGCATGGGAGCCACGGTCATCGCGGGGCTGTGCCCAGGCCCCCAAGCCAGGAGGTGCTGCAGGGCCGGTCGGGGCCCAGCCAGGGCAGCTCCCTGCGGGAAGGAGCGAGAGGCCGCGCAGGTGGGGCCGAGGGTGGATGCTGCGGACACTAGCGGCCCCGGGGACAGGGCAAGTGGGGTGTGACCCGGAGTGTGGGAACTGGACAGAGACGGGGGGGGACTGGCCACCTCACAGGGTGCATGTGTGTCACGTCCTGTTGACCAGCTGTGGGGCTCTGGCAGGCCACCTTCAGGACAGATGACAAAAGGGGCCAGTCGAGGGGCGGCGGAGGTGACCTGTGTGGAAGGCGTGTGGGGCTGGCGGACTGGCGACCTGCAGGACGAGCCCTGGTGGCGGCAGCGCGGCTGTGGGGCAGCGGAGGGCAGTCCAAGCGGTCAGTCCCCAGGGGACAGATGGGCCTTGCCCCTGCCTGGCACCAGCACGTTAGCTGATTTCCCGCCAGTCATCACCTCAATGTGGAAAGGGCCCAACAGGCCCTGCCACGGGCGGGCAGTCCTGGAGCACCCCGGTGGACGCCTGGGGTGGACTCTCTCAGGTGATCAGTCCTCCCGGAGGGAGTAAAGGTCACAGATGAGCACACACAGCGGAGGCGCAGAGGACAGGACCTTCATGAGCCATGGGACATGCCGGGAGGGAGGGGTGGGGGAGGGGCGCCCCTGGGGCAGTCGGGCTGTGGGCTCCCCTGCCGCGGGCAAGTGGGGAGGACCGGGCCTTGCATGGCCCACACGCGCAGCGCAGACCCAACAGCGATGCCTTCGGGCCCTTGCCCGGCAGAAACTGTGTCCCCCAAGACACAGCTGGGGCACCACAGCTCCACCCCTGTCCAGGGCCCACCAGCTGGAGATCAGGCCCGTGGCCGGGGTCAGGGACAACTGGCACAGAAGGTGCAGGAGAGCGAGCCCGTGAACGCCAGCCCTACCTGGGCCACCCTGGAGCCACCGCGGGAGGCCGGGCCGCCGCTGGACACACACAGCCCAAAGCCCAGACACCAAACCGCCGGGACCTCGGGCTCCGGGACAGCGGGACACACTCACCGCAGCCACTGGAAAGTGTCCACTGAAAGCACAAGCAGAATGCTGGCCACCTGTCCACAGACCCAGACAGCACTAGCCAGTGGGGATGGTCAGCCGCAGTCCGAGAAGTAGTATCAGGCACCAGTTGTTAACAGCTCTCTGAGAGGCTGGACAACGCCAACAGCAGCCGCTGGGCCTCTGGCCCCTCTCCCAGGCTGGGGCACAAGGCCAAGGCCCACCCCCTTCAGCGTCTCTGGCCGCCTCAGAGGCAGGCCGCTGGGCACGTGGAGGCCAGCAGCGGCGCCTCTGGCCTCTTACCGGCGCGCCGGGGCCCTGCCTTATATCCTCTCAGGGCGCCCCGCCCACAAGCCTGATTGGGCCGTGTAGCACCAATGAGCTTGTAGCTCACACCTGATTGGTCGGTTCTGTGATCCTGGCACAATGCGCAAGAGAAGGTGCCAGGGCCTCTGAGGGCCAGCGCCAGAGCTGGCCCTCGGTGGGGCCCTTGCTTCTGCCCAGTCACCGAGAGCACCCTCGGGGTGGCCACACGGGTGTCAGGCTGCCGGCAGCAGCTGCTGCCACAGGGCCAGGACGGTGACCTGAGAAGTGGGAAGCTGCGCCCCTCCCGGCGGGACTGGCAGGTGCCGCTGCCCGCGCGGATGCCGCCCACCCAGCCTGCTGGCCCCTTTGCCGCGGCTTCCTGGCACTGTGAAGTGGCCTGGAAGTCGTCCTCAGGCCCCGGCGGCAGGTGAGGAAGCGCGGCCGGGCCGGCCAGCGCTCCAGGCAAAGGGTCTGGCACAGGGCGCCTGCGCCGCGGTGTCCGCCGCTCCGCCCGCCGGGACGTGTCTGACACCACGAGCTTCAGCGCCAGGCTTCGCGGGGAACCGTTGCACCTTGGCAGCCGGTGGGCCTGCTTTCAGTGGTCACATTTATTCCCCAGGTGCGTCTCTGCCCAAGCACCTGCAACCCTGGGCCTTCCTTGGAAGACTTTGCAGGTGTAATTAAGTTGGGGGCTCAGACGGCTGCACCCGGATACGCAGGCCCTAGTCCGGCGCGAGCCCTAGGAGAGAAGGCGCCGGGGGAGGCCAAGGGTTGGAGCGCGCCCCAGCCTCTGCAGGCGCTGCCACCCGCGGGGCTGGGCCGGCCACAGCGGCGCTGTCACTGGGGTGCGCGCCTCCCTGTAGGTGCAGAGGACAGCGCAGGGTTCCAATGGCAGCTGCGCTTCTGCGTTTCCGATCTGGGCACAGTTGCTGGTGGCATCAGGACCGCGGAGTCCAGGAGCTGGTGGGGGGCGGTGATGGGGCGGGGCTGCGGGAGGGAGTGAAGAACACCCGCTCGTGGGTGAGGGGCCGCGCTGTTCACCTGGTCAGCCTCCCGGGGTGTTGCGGTAGGGGCGTCCAGGGCGCGAGGTCCCCGTGGGGAGTGCTCTGGAAAGCAGGCGTTTGGTCGCGGGGTCCCTGAGCCACATCCCGGTCCAGGAGCCCAAGGCAGGCTCCTGGGGCACCCCGCGGTACAAGGTCCAGGTGCAGGCTCGGCTGCTGGGGCCACCCTGTGCGGGTGTGTGTGGGGGGAGCGCTATGGAGCAGCGGCCTAGCCCCAAGCGGGCAGCCCCGCCTGCCCCAGGCCGTGCCGGGCTCCCGCTGGCACCTGTTCCGGGCCCAGCGTTCTCGAGCAGCGGGCCTGCGGGATGTGGCCAGTGGCCACGTGGCGCATAGTGGGGGCCTGGGGGTTCTAGATGACTGTCTCCAGGACACCTTTGGGTTTCTGGGGGTACCGGATGGTGCTCCTTGGGCCGAGAGGGTTGCCCAGCTCCAGACTGCCCTTGGAGTGAGCCGCCACTTCCCCACGGGGTCCCACCGAGTGGGGCTGACGGTGTGCCCCCGGCTTCCTGACCGCCAACAGGAGCCAGGTGCCTCCGAGGAGGGCGCATCCTGGTGTGGTGTACCAGGGCTGGCCCCTGGGGGCCTCGCCGCTGCTCAGAGAGGGAGGGAGGGCGGGCCAGGCCCAAGCCCAGCCTCCCGTTTTCTGCGCTCCGAATGCCAACGCCCCGGACTGCAGATGTTTGCAGAAGGCGCTGACCTCGGCGCAGGCCCTCGCTTGCTCTTTCCGGCATCTGTTACTTGGGATGTCCACAGGCGAGGCGTCCCAGGGGCGCTTTCTTGGAAAGGGGCGGGGCCGTCCAGGCCGTGCCCCACCCACAGGCAGCTTTGGGCACCGCACCCCAGAGAAAAGCCCTTTGCCACCTGCCGGTTGTGGGGCGCAGGCTCCTGGGGGCGGGGCTGGCGGGAATGGGGAGGCGGGAGGGACGGCCACCCGCCTCTGCTCTCGCGCAGTGAACGAGTTCACGGTCATCAGGAAGAAGTTCAAGTGCCCCTACTGCAGCTTCTCGGCCATGCACCAGTGCATCCTCAAGCGGCACATGCGCTCGCACACTGGCGAGCGGCCCTACCCCTGCGAGATCTGCGGGAAGAAGTTCACCCGGCGCGAGCACATGAAGCGGCACACGCTGGTGAGCGGCGGGCGGGGGAGGGGGCGGGGCC